TGTTCCCTGTTGAACCTGGCTGCCGCTGACTCTGGCCTTCCTTAGTGCAAAGTCTCCTGTGTGTCTCAGTATTACCAATKTTATTCGTAGTGTTTGTTTCTGAAGCTGAGGACCAGGAAAGGACCCCTATCATACATCTGCAGAGTGTGACACCACAAGACTCTGTGTGGCACTTGGCATCTTGTCAGTGCTAACTCTCCTGGTGGTGTTGGATGCTTGTTAGGCACCAGATCAGCTGACAGAAATAAAGTGAAGCCCTTCTAATTTCCTCCACAAGGCAGCCAGTTCAGGCTGTGCGCAACAGGCAAGGTAGGGTAAGGGAGAAGCCAGGCTTTGAATGCATAGTTTGAGAGAAAATAATTTTGGAGGTGTAGCTTGTCTTTGTGAAGAGAGAATTGTTTTCCTCATTGAATGTCCTATTATTCTGCCATTTTTATTTTAGAATTTGGCTTGTGTACTTATTTAATTTGAAAACTTGATGCAGTCAGTCCCCAAGCTGAGGAGGTAGCTAAGGTAGTAACACCAGCCTACTGAAGCCTGCTACTGTCCCTATGGAAACCTTTTTGTCATAGGAAAAAAGTAGTCCCAGCTGAAACTTGAAATACCACATTACAGGAGAGCAATTACCATATATTCACAACCATGCATGCACATACACATGCAGAGAAATATATATACAGCTCACTGTATTGTACTCTGCTACATAATTATTATTTTTCAGATACGGAAAAATAAACCTATGAAATGGAAGCTGAGATCCCAAAGTTTTAACAGTGCACTTGCTACTGATTTCCTACAGTCTTCTGGGGCTGTTATGTCCTTTTCTTTTATACATTTTCCATCTACAGAATGGGAACAGACCTGCTYAGCAACTAATAAATGTTTATGAAGATCAAATGCAATAGATATTCTTAGTAATATTTGGTTTCTTTTCTTTTTAAAAGATAAACCTTATGGTCAGAGGCAAAGATTTTGCATTGTGTCTCCAAAAGACTTCAGGCTTCTTATGAACTTGGACTGAAGGAGGGTTGTGATTGAAAACTTGAATATACAAGAATCCTTTGTAATGTCTGATATGGACCTAAGATTCTTTTTTAAAATTCATAATATTAAATCTATACCTTTGAAATGGCTACTATTATGTTGCTAATTCCTGATAAGGACTTGTTAGATTATGAGGGAGGCAGGATGACTATTTTTGGTTTAGTTCAGACTTTTCCCCCAAGATCTCTAAGCTCTATTTATCCAAGCGTCACCTCTCCTAGTAATCCAAGAAAGAGATGGTTCCTGTTGGCTTAAAATACCGAATTATAAAAATGAATGCTTTAACTGATTCTCAGCAAAAAACTTTGAAGTTTAATCTTTCCCTAATTAAATAAACTATGTCCCCAAAAACAAACACCAAAAAMCAGAACAAAACCCTCTCCAAACAATTAGGGATTAATTTAAAAAAAAAAAAGCACAAGCAAAAAGCTTTGAAACCATCTCCTTTTCATTTTTCTCATCACTAGCAAGTGTTCAGATTCCCATTAGTACATTAGTACAGTTCCTGCTTGGGAGAATTTTTCCTTACTTCTAGCAAGCTCTATCAGACTATTTCCATATTTCTTTTTACAATTAGGCAAAACTCTACCAATATGCAACAGGTAGACAAAAATATTTGTAAATTACAGCAGAATTTCCCAGTGGTTTTTACCMAAGAAAATTGGTCCTCCTTGCCCCTGGTGGAAATGTTGGAATAAATGGCATATTTTTATTTATTTCAATCTGTGCTTATAAGGGTACTGTACTATTGTTCATCAATCAGGACAGCCATTTGTAGCTGAGAATTCTTCTTTCCTCACCCTGCTCTGACATAGCTGTATGAATCGAGAAATTTCTTTTCCTTTATTAAAAACAGAGTTAATTTAAATGTCTCAGAGTAAAAGGTTGTGGCTTTATTTTTTCTTCTGTTTTTGTTTTTTTTTTAAGCTCACAAATTTTAGCTTTCAGATCACATGAATAAATTTCTTTAATTTCAGTTTGGCCGCTGAAGCAAAAAAAATCAATTACACTCACAGTTCTAGCTCTTATTCCAAAGAAAACAGCCCAAACTTAAACTTGGTCTTTAATTATATATCTGATTCATTCCAGTAACAACACTTGACTTCAAACAATTCAAGAGCAGGAGGAAACTTGCTCTGAATTCCTCTCTTCAAAGAGGAGGACTCTTTCAGATAACATGTCAGACGACTTTAAGCTGAAACCAAACAAGATAACTGAGAAGATWTAATACAAGGAAGTTTAGCTGACCACAGGAACATGTCAATACTAAGAGAAGGCCTCCAAAGTTGTTTTTAAACAGATCTCCCCACACTTGGGAAGAGAAAATTGACCTTATTCCTCTCCTTCCCTCCTCTTTTCATAGTTGCAGGAGCAAATTGCTATTCATTTAAAAATACCACACAGTGAAAATTTATCATTATTTATATCCAAAACTATAAACCAACCTAACTCCTACAACTGATAAGTAGAAGATACCGTGTGTTAATTGTATGTACTGTATTACTTTTGTTACAATTCATAGAAGTGTACAAATTAAGTCAATTAAAGCTGCTTGAAAGYCTCCTGTGCACTGTCACCAGTTCATTACTGCACAGCAAATTGCTTGAAAAGAATCAGGACATGTRTGCTTTATCTGACAATTGCAGAGCCATCCCATCTTTTTTTTTTTTATTTGATACTTGTTAGAATATTTCAGTTGGGAATAATTATACAGAAAGCCAGTGTAAAGATCACTGTGGCCTTGTTTGTTGTTGTATTTGTGTGTGTGTCCTGCTTTCTTCTGTATTTCTACTTCTTGACCTCATTTTTCCTCCTCATTGCTGATACCTATTTGTATCTGGTCTCATGACTTCTTTTAATGGAACARATTGATATCTAGGGCTGTGTCTAAACTAGAAGAAAAGTTGAATTTAGTTCAGCAGCATGTTGAAGTTAGCTGGCAGCTATATTCAACCACTTCTTGACCGCTGGAAAGGCAAAGCCATCATTCATTCAACTTTCAGATGGTGCAATGAGAATTTATGCTCCCAGCTAGAATTTAATTTGCTTCTCCATCTGGTAAAATGAGTCCTTATTTATGTTTGGCTTAACTAGGTAGTGCTAACCAATCTACCCCAACCTCAGCCTTGGAGGATAAAAATTGAACGATTCTAGAAGTTCTTACGGTTTTTCTGGTCTGAGGGTGAAAACATGCTCTATTATAAGCTTGGCGTAGGTTGATGAGTAAATTGCTGGATGAGTAAGTTGCATGATGATGGAAAATCTTATGTTTTTATTAGAGGAGCTCTAGGCCATCTTTTTTTCTCATCTTTTTCCTGTTGCTACCAGTATACAAAGCATCAGTGGAAATATGTCATTCCTGATAGCTTTTCACAGTTGGAAAAAGAGGAGGCTGAATGAGAAAGAACCTCATAGCATTTAACTTTCAACTTTCTTGTTGAGTTTCATTAATATAATTTCTATTCATATGAAAAGGACGGCTGTGTATGACCCCCTGAATATTTCTATGGTGTGTGCACTGCCCACAGACAAGCTGAGGTGGCTACTGAAGAGACTAACCCATAGCCATGCAGCAAGGCAGCAAAGGGATAATATCTCATGGTCCACTGACTTTTGATGTTAATTCACTGATGGTCATCCTTTAACTGGTTCACCATAATGGAAAATTTCCAATTACAGAATTACAGTCCTCTGTTTTTCCATGCTTAGAAATTTTGCAAAAACCAGTGTAAGAAAGATAAATTATAACAATGTAAATACGTAAGTAATTTACTGGCAAAATTTTTACATCCCTGCATTGCAGTTGTCCCCATTGGTAAGGGTGGCAGCACCTGACACCAGGCATGTTCGGAGCTGTCTCGCAGAGGAGGAACCGAGTCCCTTCGCACAGTTCTGGTTAACTTGGATTTCATAAAATGCCCAGGTGGCCGAGCCCCAGTGAAGTGGGTGCCCTGGGCGCAGATGTGTGAACCACTGTGGTGAGAGGGTGGACAACCCCCTTCCCGCCAGTGAAAGGATAGCCCCCTGGACAACCTTGTGGAGTGTGGTGGGTTTTTAATGTGGTGTGACTGACTAGGCCCTCCTGGGGAGAGCCGGTTCTTCAGGGGCCGATGGGGAAAGGCGGCGGAGGATGCGTGGGTGAAGCCTGCAGGCTGTACGCAGGGGTGGCCCGAGGATGCTCTCCCGGCACCTTTCCCCCAGCTGTGTCCATTCGCCCCGCGGCTGGCCCGGGGCGGTAGCGGTGCCCGAAGGGGCCCGGCCCGCAAGGCCGCTCTGCCCGCCACCCGCAGCTCGGCGGTGAAGGGTGCCTGGCGCTGCGCACCCGGCCCCGGCGACCCGCCGCCCCCACTTCCACTGGCAGGAACGAAGGAAGGAAGGAAGGACGGACGGACGGACGGACGGAAAGGAGGCGGAGCGGGAACGGGCGGGAGAGGGCCGGGTCCCTGCGGTGCACGGGGCTTTGTACGCGGGCGCCTACGAGCCGGTGCCGCGCGGGGGAGCACAGAGCCCGGCGGGACTGGCACGGGTCCCGCGGGAGTAGCATGAGCCCGGGCGGCGGCGAAGGGCCCGACGCTCCGGCAGCAGCTGCTCTCGGCGCGGCGGGGCGTAGGGTGGGCGGCKGGCGGGCCGGGCAGGCGGGCGGAGCGGCCGGCGGCCTCCCCGGTGGCCTCGCCCCCCGCGCCGGCCGCCCCTAGCGCGAAGCTGGCGGCGGTCTAGCTCCTGGGACAGGTGGGCGGGAGTCGGCGGCGACCATGGCGAGGCGCGGCGCTGCCAGGGGCCGCGGGCCGCTGTCGGCCGCCCGGGCGCCGCAGGCCTGAGGAGGAAGGCGGCGGCGGCGGCGGCGGTGGGGCGGGTGGGGGGTCGCGGCTGCATCCGCTCATCCCGCGGCCGACAGAGGCGTCTGTGGGCCCTCCCTTCTCTCCTTTCCCTCCTCCTTCCGCCGCTCCGCCCGCCGCGCYGAGAGCTGCCGCCTCCTCCCCCGCGCCGGGCGCGCCGCGGTCGGGGTCGCAGCCGGCGGCCGCGGGATTTTCCTCGTTTGTTTGGGCCTTTTGTGTCGGAGCTCACAGTTGGCTAAGCACGGCTGGGCTGAATTGGGCCATTGTTCGGGACCCCCGAGCTCCCACGCTGCACATCTCTCGTCCCCAGCCCCTTTCAGCCCCCCTTCCTCCCAATTCCTTTTTTTGCCTGAGAAGCCACATAACGTGCCTTTCCTCCACGCAAATCTGGGAACTATAAGCCGGACCGATTGCAAATGAAGTGTAATGCATTGTGGGACGTGTGTAAAATTGGATCATTCGAGGGGGAAAAAAAAAAAAAAGGAAGGGACCTGCGGCTGGCGCCCTAGAAGAGGGAGCGGCGAGATGCGCGCAGGTTGCGCCCCGGCGGTGCCCGCGCTAGGCTGATGCCCGGCAGCGCGCACCCCTGACCCATGCTGCGGCGGGAGGAGTAGGCTTGGGCATCCTCAGGATGAAGAAGACGCGGAGTACGACCTTGCGGCGGGCCTGGCCTAGCTCCGACTTCTCCGACCGGGCCTCAGACCGCATGAGGTCCCGCAGCGAGAAGGACTACCGACTGCACAAGCACTTCCCCCCAGCTTTTATTTCCCAGGCATCACGGGGCTACATGACATCAGGTTTGTAACATAATTTGTGTATGCGAGAGAGCTTTATTGCGAGGCTGCCGCGGGATGTSTGTCTGGCTGGAAAGGCTGTGTTGGTGGGTACGGAGGGGAGCCTGCGATCGGGAGGCTGAGTTGTTATGAATAATGCAAAAAAAAAAAAAAATAGCATACATCCACCATTTTGTACCTCTGCAAGATTCACAGCGGGGTCCTCGCAATATGGTGTTTAAAATCTATTAGTCGAGTGAAATAAATCTATGAGAGAAACGGTTGCATCTCTGTTGTGGAAGAGCAGACAAAAATGACTGGATGTGCAGAGCATGGAGCCCTTTGCGCCTTTTGTGCGTAAAAGCATGTGCTGGATATTTACTGCTCCCCCACACATTCCTTTTCAAATCCAGCTAACTCTAGTTAACTCATCGGGTTTTCGGGTTTTTCCATTTTGGAAAGGAAAAGGGTTACTTGTGATTGCAAACGCACTTGCCGTGTTACAGACTCTCTGGGTTTTAGCCTGCATGTTTCTGCAATGGCAAGGCATGTGTTGGTGAAAATGACTGTAAACACATTTGCATTTGTTTTTTGAGGTGTAGAAGGAGACCAGACCTGTGTATGTGGTGGAACACACACGTGCATGTATATTCATTTGTCAGTGGTTTTCAAGGAAGGCCGTWGGGAAATAATGGACACTGCACCAACATGTTTGTGCATGGGAAAGAGAAAGCGCAAACAAAACAAAAAACAGCGCAGGAAAAGGCAGGCATCAGGGAGAGGCTTGGCCTCTGATGGAGTGCTGGTGAGATTTTGGAAAGCCTCAGTACTGTTAGCAGAATCTGCTCCATCCTGAAATACGTCTTAATGKCCTTGAAATTAAGGAATTTCATAAATACCCGAAAGAAGACTTGGAAAAATGCTGATGGGGAGGGGGCTGGGGGCAGAAAATCCTGGAAACCTCCTTTGTTGTTCTGCTGCCTGTTTATTGTGATGATAGGACATAACGTGTCATTATTACGATGGCAAATTCCAATTTATCACAAAGGCACTCCTTTCCCTCTGAGGTACAATTTAGGTTGAGTAGRTAGATTCCTTTAAAGGAGAAAACGAAGGTATTTATAATGCATTACTGAAAATGTCTCCAGTCCTGTATGCTCTCCCCTCCCACCCTATTTCTGCTGCAAAGGTTGAGCCAAAGATTGTGGTTTTCAGTTACATGCTTGCCTTCCTATCTCTGGCCCTAATAAACGGATCTCCTTAGTCAGGATTGGTTTCTCATTTTTTAAAAACRCCTCGGTCTCGTGACTGTTCTTTCTTTAATGCCCGAGTACAAGATAAATAATATGCATTTTATTAAAAAATCTCTGTGTGTAGGAATATTGTGGTGTTTTGGCAATTGGTGCTCTGATTTTTCCTTTCCTGGGAAGTCACATAGTGAGTGGAAATGACAAGGATAATTTATGCTTGAACAGTTGAAGAAGAGGAGAATGATTGTGGTGGTGGAGGGATTGATTTGTTCCGTTGGTGCTGTAGGACCTGAGGGTGTCTGGAAAGCTGAATCTTACAATACTGCAAAGATTTTTGTTCTGRGTGAATGTCCTCATATTCCCACTGTAACATACCCTGTGTCAGTTTTGTTGAGGTCGGTACTTTTTAGGCCTTCCTTTCAGTGTGAAAGCCCATATTTAAAAGCAAAGGAGCTCACATGAGCATTTTGTGCCAAGCGGTGTGGTTCTTTCTTGTTTTTAGTTCTTCAGGGAAGTGGTCTGGCTCTGTGAAAGCTTTATCTTGGCAAGATTGGTACAATCCAACCAAATACCAGCAATCTGCAGAATCAGATGTGTCRGCCTGCTTTGTTGGCAAATACCTGTGTCCTTGAGGGGCATGAGGGGGCATTGAATTGTAATATGTTTTAAAGTAATGTCCAGACTCGGAATACTTGTTTATGAATATAGAGTGCATTGATTTAAATTGCAGCAACTGAAGATGACGGACAAATGTCATGTTAAGTTTTACTAATTTGCTGAAGTTGTTGGAGGGAGATCATGTTGAAAATTAAAATCAGCAAGTAATTGTTGGTTTTGTTGTTTATTTTTTGTTGKTTTTTTTTTTAACCTCAAGAACAGCTTAATAGGTTTTTGGAAATGTAATTGTTCTCTCATAGCGGATAGTTGCCACATTCATTTATTTGTAAAGGATCCTTGTCCACTGCTTTTCCAAATATTAGTTTTGGGAAGAATAGCTACTGTGTCTAAACACTTTTCACTTGAAGTTGTGATCATCTGAAAGAAATTCTCTTCCCTGCAGGAAATCTGTAGGAAGTTCTCKGGCATAAAAATTGTGGAGATCAGGAATACAAATACTTTCTTTGTCACCCAGAATGTTGTAGGGGAGAAAGTGTCCCAAAACACATGGGCTTTTCAGAGGCTTTTGCATTCTGTTTATCCAACCATTTAACCTCATCACCATTAGCATTGTTGTGGTTATCTTTTAATTAAATGCCTTGTCGTTTATGATGGGGGTGGTGGGTAGAAAAGAAACCTTGGGGTTTTGTCTCAGTTACTCTGCTTGGGGAAATATGGAAATGCATACAACCAAACAACTTTCAGTAAGATGCTGAAAAGCTTGAAATGTTAATATTCAAGTATGCCTGAACTGAGCATGGGGAAGTTATATATATTTCTCTCAGCGCAGAGGAATACTGAGTAATGATCCTKCGGTCAATGCCATGGTATTTTGTATGAGGAAAATACAGTCTCCAAGCAAAATCATGTTTTTAATGGAAGTGCAAACCTCATGCTAGAGTGGTGAAGCACATCTGATTTTAAGCAGTCTTTTCAGTAAAACTGAGTAAGGAGCAGTTTGATATTTGCTTGATTTGAAGCAGCATTGGTGGCTGGCCAGTCACATTTTCAATACTTGGGGAACAAACTGCCCATAATTACAGAAAATTGATGCAGATGCAATTCATATGAAATCTAAAGATTGTTTGACAGATGAATGGAGATGGAAGTAAGGAGGGAAAAAGCAGACCATTTAGAAAATCACACATTTTTGCTTGTGAATAATCTCTTGATACATGCTATTAAATAGGCTGTACTCCAGGGTTTCTTTAGGCCTCCTAGCAACCACTGGGTTCAAAGGCCATGCAAGGAGTTCATTGTTCATGCTGAATATTAATTTCCCTGTGGAGGACTGTCTTGGAGAAAAAACACTGAAAAAGAAAATTACAGCAATGTAAAGCTTTGACCTTGTGTGAAAAGAGATTGAATCCAATCTCTTTGCTGAAAAGTTTGAATCCAATACCATTCATACATGTTACTGAAAAGGGGAGAAAATACTTGAAGTTTTTGATATATTGCTGCTTAATACAAGGGAAACGAAATCATATGCAACTGCCAATCAGGATAAAACTTAATGCAACTTAGGAGGTTTCCAAACAGTTAAATGAAATAATATGTATAGCTTTTTAAATGTTGAAAGCTTCTTGATTTTTTTCCTTTCCCCCTTCTAAATACAAAAGCAAATCCTGGATTTTGTTTTAGCAGAGAGAGAAGCTGCACCCTGTGATTGACCCAGCCATTAAACATTACCAGAACTGAGTAACGCTCTTGAAAGAAATAACTTTTCCTGCAGCCTTTCTTCAGTTACTTTAATTGAAAATTTTGGTGTTGGACATAACATGTCAGTTTGAGATGGAGGTGGTGTAGTGTAACGATCTAACACTCACAGCATGAAGGTATGTCTGAAGAGCTTTCTGCAATGGTAAAAACTAATTCTGAAGCGTGGTCATTTGGAAGTTACCTTCTGGAAAGTATGCAATTACTTTATTGCTCTTTGCTTTAAAGTTTGCAGGAGTTTCAGTCCTTCAAAATTCAAGAGTAAAATTTGAGAGTAAAATTCAAGAGTAAAATTCAGTCTCAGTGTTGCCTGCTGTTAGTGGAGTTTGGTTACCAAGTTCAAGCAGAAGGGAAAGGAGAGAAGTATGTAACCCTGCTATCCAACTGATGGTATCATTATGCAAATTAAAATTTGTAGGAGGAAAAGATAACCTGATTCTCTCTTTTAGGACTGTTTGATGAAAGGTCTAGGACAAACTCTTCAAGCTCCTTGAACAGTAAGCCATCAGAGTAAATTTAAGAGTCTTGAGTGGTTTGTTTTTTTTTAAGCTTGAGCCTCTAACTGTAATGATTAGTATTTGGAGATAATTACATGCGAACTGAAGAATTCAGTTTAGTGTAATTGAGAAGTGCCAGATACATGCGAACCTCATTGAATTCTCCTGTCCCTTAATACAGTTATCTAAAGGAATATGAGGAATATGTTCTAGCTTGAAGGCTGTTGTATTGTAATTAATATTCAATCGAATAATCAGTATTGCATTGCCTTTTTTTTTTTAATTGTGCTATTAAGAAACACCTTCCCATTCATCTTCTTAACAGTAATGTGATTGATTTGCCTCTCTGAATTCTGAGTAGTTTTGGGTTGTCTTAGGCCAGACCCATTACTGGGACAGTAAAAACTGAGAGCGTGTGGGTGTCAATGGCTAATAGGACCAGTTTTACCTTCTGGATCCTGCTGTCTCCTTTGCTTGAGTCTGTGGTGAACTGGTGAACTCCAAGAGAAGGGTCACTCCAGTGTGTTGTTCCAGTCCCTTTTGGTCTCTGTGGCATCGTGACATCCACTTACTTTGATAGAGAATTAGGAACTTGCACTACATCCTGGTCTAGGGGAATGATCTAAGTGTGCTCTGTCTTCAGASCACAAACTTGGTTCAAGCTCATGGACCAATCATTTTCACACAGTTTCTACTATATTTTATTCCCGCCCTGATTTCTAGYGTAAAAGAGTCCAAAAGACAATCTTTTCTCTCTTTCTGTAGAATCCTGTTTTTTATTCCTACAATTGTATGTGTGGTATTAACTTACATAGAGTGCTGTGCCCATGCCTCTTGTGTTATGTCACATGTATGCCTGGTCCTTGCATACTGGATACTACGACATTTTCTGCATAGCCATGAG